ACTCGTAACATTTTCGATGATCGGTATCATGCACTAACATATGTACGATCCCACTCGCATTCATACTTTACATAAAACAATTTATCATTTTCATCGTCTTTGTAATATTACATATATTTTTTACATAATTAATCATCCCAACTAAATATAATAACATCATTTATATTTCGGTCAATTCCAATTTCTAAATTTCATCGAAGACATAATTCACCAATACGACACAATCCAATTAAAATCAAAGCACAAAAGGATTGAATTATAATATAAAAACGAAAATCATTAAGATCGGGCAAAATTCCAAGGATTGTAAAATTTAACATGCTCGTCATCGACCTAAGAAACTTAACACATTTCTAATCGTAATAACTTTTTGATTCGAATTTTGGAACGTTCGATCTTGTCGTTTTAACGAGTCCGAAAAGTACGCCAAGATCAACATTACAATTATTTGCATCGTCAAAAATTCGTCCGAAGAGTTGAAGAGACAAATAAATATCAAAATTAAAATAACAAGGTTAAAATTCGATAGGTTAGAAATAATAATAATAATAATAATAATAATAATAATAATAATAATAATAATAATAATAATAATAATAACAATAATAATAATACTAATAGCAATGATAAAGTAGTAAAAGTAATATAAAATAATACAAAATAATAACATCGAAGTCTTGTAATGAGTTATCGCCGAATAGGGTTCTCAAAGTGGGACAAGTAGAAGACACCTTCACGATCACGACCTTGCTTCTCTCTCTCTTTCTCTCTCTCTCTCTCTCTCTCTCTCTCTGTTTCTCTCTTTCTCTCTCTTTTTATAGTCGATAGGAACAAGTTACGTTATGAGCTCTTTCCGTGATGATTAGATCTCGAAGATGGTGTTAGTTCGCAAATAGGAGAAAACAGCCATCACCCTCCTCTCTATCTATCTATCTGTCTATCAATCTATCTATGTATCTATCTATCTATCTATCTACCTATATATTTCTCCCTCCCCTCCCCCTCTCTCTCTTTTTCTCTCCGTCTTCACCCTAGCTTACGTGCACAATTTTTGTTGGCAACTACTAGTACTACTATACGATGAATTTCGCAAACTTCTGCTTGAGTCAGAGTCGAACGAAGTTTAGTCACGACACGTTAATATCTCTTGTTTTTCCACACTAAATGGGAAAGATAGATAGATAAATAGAATGAAAGAGAAAGAGAAAAAGAAAGAAGAAGACAAATATACAGAGAAAGAAAGAAAGAAAGAAATAGAGAGAGAGAGAGAGAGAGAGAGAGAGAGAGAGAGAGAGAGAGAGAGAGAGAGAGAGAGACGAAAAATTAAAATTAGAATTAGAATAAAAATAAAAATTAATTCGTAGTTTATATTCACAGTAAATATCGTTCAAAAAGGAAGAAGATAAAAATATGAAGAGCGAGATAGATAAGAGAAGAGAATAGACAAAGAAGGAATAAGGATCTTCTTTCTTCCTCCTCTTTCATATTCTTCCTCGTAGCCAAAACCAAAATGGTTTTGATTAATCGAGATTGTCAAAAATGGAAACCAAGAGCTCTTCCGCACTAGCATTATCATAAATTATTATATATAGATATATAGATATATTATTATTATTATTATTATTATTATTATTGTTATTATTATTATTACTACTATTATTACTGTCAATGTTGCTGATTTTATGGTTGTTATCGTTATTGATAGTAAAGCTTTTTGTCGGGTCAGACTTACTCGTTAAAAGCAGACTCGTTTAAAGCACATGCAGGAAGCTATAAATGTCAATCTTAATGAACAATCTTTTACTCATGAACGACAAAGAGAACTCGTGCCAATTTCACGAGAAAATACTTAGAGATATCTTCGAAAGTGTTGAAATGATTTGAACGATCTAAAGAAATTGAACTCGAACGAGACAGAGGAATTAAATCAAAAATTGTATACATTGTTTTCTCGATATATCGATTTTGTGCTTTTTCTTATTTAATGTTTCTGTGTCTGTCAGAACAGGGAAAATGGTGATTCATATTTCTCATATTCAAACGAAACACAAAAGGTATAATACTTACGTAGCAAACACGTTTATCTCCTACGCATGCATGCTAATCATTGAAACTAAAGAACGAGTGGGCTTTTTTCGAGGTCTTCATTTTGACTTTCGATCGTATGTACGTACGTGCGTGCGTGTTTGTATCGATATCGGAAAACTTTTCTTTTTTCAATGATCTATTTTAACGATCTACGTATTATACTCTCGAATATCGAATCAAAGGAATATCAATAATCGATCTAATGAAAAAGTATCAAACATTATCAATTCTCCCATTTTCTCTTGAATTTTAATTCAGATACAGATAATTTGGATTAAGATAATTTAAATGTAGGCTTAATATTTAATTTCCATGATCAATGACGAATAAAAGAGAGATATAGGTCTTATCAATAATCAATCAAAATGTCGATTATCGATTCTTCTCTTCTCCTCTCCCCCCAACTCTCTCTCTCTCTCTCTCTCACTATCTCTATCTCTATTTCTCTTAAATTTAAATTTTTGATAATTTATATTTAAACGTAACATCTAATTTCCATATGACAATGACGAATAAAAGAGAAATATTAGAACGAAATATGTCCATAAAAAAAAAAAAAGAAAAAAAAAAAGGAAAAAAATGAGCGAAAAAAAGAGAAAAAAAATGATATAAAATTTGAAGGATGCGGAAAAGAAGCGACAAACGACGACATCGTCATCGTCATCGTCATCATTGTCATCGTCCTCGTCGTCGTCTTCGTTATCGTCTTCGTTGTCGTCGTCGTCGTCGTCGTTGTGTCAAGGTGGGCGTCCTTATGCGAATCTGGTGAGGGTGCTGACGTCAGATTTACATATATGGACACAGGACGACGTATCCGAAGAAAAAGGATTTCAAGAGATAGAGAAAGAGAGAAAGAATTGCTCCTCTTGGAAGTAATATTGTTAAGTTTAAAGGATCGGGGAAAATATTAGATAAACGATTTCTAAATACTATCCTGACGAGGAGGATAAAAAAAAAAGCGTACAGATAGGGGATATATATTACACACTTGAAATTTGAGATTCATTTCCCTTGGGAATGCCCACCTGGGGTCATGCTTTTTCATCATATGAGTCAGAGATACAAAGAAAGAGACGACGGTCTTTTCTTCTTTCTCTTTCTCTTTTTCTTTTTAATCTTTCATGTCCTTTATGTATACGAATTAATTATATATATATATATATATATATATATATATATATAAATGTAAAGAAAACAATTTTATATATATACATACTTAATAATTCTTTTCCTTTTTTCAAAATTTTAAGTTATTAAAAATTAAGTATTAAAATCGTCAACTATCGATTAGAAACACTTAGGGCAAATTAAGACATTGATATAAGGGAGAGAAAAGAAAAAAAATAGAAAAAATTTTTCTTGTTTCTTGTTAATAAACGGATACGTCCGTTTGACGAAAGGAAATTGTCGAGTTTAGTTTCACGAGAAGCTAAATTCAATAAATTTATCAACCAACAGAGAGAGAAAGAGAGAGAGAGAGAGAGAGAGAGAGAGAGAGAGAGAGAGAGAGAGAGAGAGAAGTACTTGGTAAATCCACAGTACTCTTCGCGACACCGAGAGAAATCGACAATGCAAACAAGCCGTAATGATGAACGCAAATTTTATCAACTGTACCATCTCCTCTATCCTCTATTGCCGGTACTGCTAAATACATACGTATATGCATAATGCATAATATAACGAGCTTACCAGTGTCAACGTACGGAACGTATGTATATTCGTACGTACAACCGTTGGAAACCATGTTCGAAAGACAATTGTCACGAGAAAATATGTTAAACGAAACATGAATTTTTAACGAAATGCATCGACTTTTTAGGTTAGAAAAATTGATGCGAAGTCTCTGATCTGAATAAAAATTGATCCCATAACATCACTTAGTCCAAAGAAAAAAAAAAAAAAAAAGAAATAATGAGAATGAAAAAATGAAGATAAAGCAAAAGATAAAATAAAATAAAATGAAATGAAAGTAAAAAAATCGTACGTGTCGGCAGAAAAAAAGCGCGAAGTCAAGCTTTTTGGTACATCGAAACGCGTCGCTGACATAACCTCACTGCGGCATTGTACCAATGAAATTGCGTAATTTTGATAAACACTATATTCACTGCCTTCATTACCTTGCAATAATAAATCACTTTAGGATGCGAACCATTGTGAACAGAAGCACTTTCAAATAATCTCCCTTTTGATCCTCGACCCCCTTCTATCTTTATTAATTATCTCTTAATATAATACTTCCGTGTGAAAGAGTAAAAAAAGAAGGGGAGGATGAATTCTTTTTAAAAAGAAACTCGTACAAATTTATAACGTATATACTGAACAATTAATTAACCGCGTACGATAGGTTAGAAATAGATTCGAGGCGGAAGAGAGAAAAAAGTCCGGGAAATTCGAATTGAAAAATTTGCGAATATACAAATAATAGAAAAAAAATTTGGATTACGAAAGGAAAAGAAAGGAGAGAAAGAGAGAGAGAGATAGAGAGAGAGAGAGAGAGAGAGAGAGAGAGAGAGAGAGAGAGAGAGAGAGAGAGAGAGAGAGAGAGAGAGAGAGAGAAAGAGAGAGAGAGGAAAAAAAGGAAAACGTGACGGTAATAGTGTTGAATCGTAAGTGGCTTTCAATTTGAACATGAAAATGTGAAAAAATTCTAGTATCGTATTTACGAAAAAAGAATTTCTCTAAGTAGACATAATGATATGGCACATGGTATCAAACGAATACGAGCGATAACAAGCAGTTCGCGTGCAGGAAATATTACGGTGAACGTGAGCTCCGTTAAATCGCGTAACCGTTGAACTAATAAAGAAGAATTTCATTAATATGGATGACACCGCTTGAATTTTATACATGAGGCCCTGTTATCGTAGCAGTGACATTGATATATATATATACGACGCATAACGATCAACACGAATCCGTGTTATCAATCTGTTCTTATTTTTTTTTTACTTCCTTTTCTTTTTTTCCTCATTTCATTTTTTCCTTTGCTTTTTTACTTTACAAATCGGCGAGATTTGCAATAAAAAAATTTTTTTCAATCCTCCTCGTATTATCTTTTACAGACGAAAAAAAAAAAGAAGAAGAAAAGAAAAGAAAAAAAGAAAATTATTCTGGATTTCAATTCGTTCGTTCGTTCATTCGTATATTTAAACGGTGCACAATGCACACCACTGTATATGATTGCACCAATTGTTGCAATTATTTCAATGATCGTCGGGTAACGATAAACGAAGACAACGTTCAAATCACACGACAGTTTTATTGATGGTAGCTAAAAATAGGGATCGATTTAAAAACAAAAAATAAAAAAGAAAGAAGAGGAATAAAAAAAAAAAGAAAAGGAAAAAAGCAATTTTTCCCGATAACGTCTCACTATATATTGCGCCATTATATGAGATGAAGCCTCAAATGGTAGAGTCTCGTTTTAATATCCTCAACCACCAGACACGGTTATCGTATTATCGTTTAGCTTTCTAATGGATATCGAACAGCGATATGAGGAAATTCTCAAGAGATTTTATGTTACTCTTTAATGAAAGTAAAAAGCTTTTAATTTCCGATTAAATAATTATAAAAATGTGAATAATCAATATATATAAATATAAAAAGAAAAGAACAAAAAAAAAACTAGATTCGTCATAGTGAGAACGTTGTACGACGCAACCAAACGAAATCGATGAATTTTCGAGGAAAAAAGTTAACGCACGCATACATAGAGAAACGATTAAAGATCGATGTATAGGATCTTTTATGAATCATTATGATATCACATTGGGTTATCGAACGACTGTCATACTACTACTATTACTACTACTACTACTACTAATAGTAATAGAAGTAGTAGTAGTAGTAAACTCCACCAGTAAGTAAAGCTTAGAACGAGAAATTATTTAAAAGTAAAATGGATGCGAAACATAACCTACAAACTTTCTACTCTTCTATGTACATGACCGACGCCGTTATAGTCCTTCTATCTGTACATATATGTACATGTATCGTACGATGAATAAAATTATTATTATTAGACGACGCGAAATAAACGTCAAAAGCATAAATTTGTTATAGGATTAAAATAACATGAGTCATCTAATCATAAATAAAGAACAAAATAATTTACATCGGACTTGATGAGAAATAAATATGACGACTATGACGACAATGACGACAATGACGACGACGACTATGTGAGTCAAATGATAAATAAATAAATAAATAAATAAATAAATAAATAAATAAATAAATCTAATCGAAAGATAAAAATTATTAATTATTGATGATAAATAATAATTAATCTCTATATTTCCAAGATTCACGAGAATATTCTACGATACGTGATAAATTATTCGAACGAACGTACTCGTATACGCGAAACACTTTGATATAAGATATAGAGACATAGAAAATAATAGGCCAAGATCACAAACACAGCAAACGCGATGGTTACAATTGGTTACCTTCCTTTTGATCATTCGAACAACATGGCACACGTGTAATCACGGAAATTTATGTAAGTCATTCGATCGGGAGAAAAAAAAAAAGAAAAAAAAAAAACATTTTGATTAACACCGTCGATGAATATTTTATTAAAATAAAAAGAGTTGAACTCCCTTTATTTTCATTTTTTATGCAATCCATAAATCTAATTATTTGAGGAAAATGTACTATAATTACGAGTTCAGAGTAAGAGAAAGAGATTGATATATATATATATATATATATATATATATATATATATATATATATAGAGAGAGAGAGAGAGAGAGAGAGAGAGAGAGTGAGAGAGAGAAAGAGAAAGAGTGGAATGATTTTTAATGATAGCAGAAGAAAAAAGAAATCACAAAAAAGGAAGTAACATGTACTTAAGAAGTTGGTAAATACGTACGAGTATGGGTATATAACTACGCGGGGTAGAGAGAGAGAGGGGGAGAGAGAGAGAGAGAGAGAAAAACAGATAGAAAGAGAACGTGTATGTAACGGCCAAGCTCGGACATTCGCACGATGGTCACCCTCAATAAGAGGCTAAAGGGCAATCCATCGCATTAGCAGCTAAAAAAAAAATAAAAATTCTAAAAAAAAAGTCCTATCTCCGACGTTGAATTTAAATATTCGACGATGACGATGACAATGACGATGACCAAGACGAAAACGAAGACGATGAAACTATGAATCGTATTTTTCTTTTTTTCTTCTCCTCTTGAAATTATCAAGGTGGTTCATAACATAAGCGAAAGAGAGAGAAAAGAGAGAGAGAGAAAGAGAGAAAATGAGATGAAGAGAGTGAGAGAGAAAGAGAAAGAGACTAAGATAAAGACACAGAGAGAGGGAGAGAGAGAAGAAATGTAAAACTACCACCTACCTTTATCGTTCTCACGAAAAAAAAACAGGAATAATAATAATAATAATAATAATAAT